TTTGGCCTGTAATGAGAGTTGGGAGGTAGGATGGATGTTCATAGAATGAAACCTTTGGTAAGTTCTCTACCATGCATGAGAAAGACAGCCGTGACAATCCCTGCAGACCATGTGGGTGTAGGTGTGGTCCATGCAGCTCCAGCTCAGATGGTGAAAAGAGTGGCTTACAGGAGGGCTGCTCATTTCCCAGTTAGCAAAGGAGAAGGGAACACTTTGTAATGTTTTCTCTTAAAGATCCATAGTCAAAAATTGGCTCTGATTTAAAGAAAAGGATGTGATCTTGAAATGGGCCTGTGCAGAGACTTGGGATCCAGAAAGATACAGTCATGTTGGGCCTTGTGCAAACAATTCTCCGGCTGTTTCCACGTAATTGGCTTCCTGTGATTCCCTCTGATTCCCCTTGGCTCCCCCACATTAACGTGGACCGTGTCATCTTCTGTAGTGTCCTCCTGCCTCCTCTCTGCAAATCCATCTCCACACCCCACCCTCAGAACCCCATGCAGTGTCAAGCACAGGGCTCACTCACACAGGATACTCAACAGTGTTTCTATAATGGGCAGTCTTCTTACCATTTGTTTGAGTTTCCACCCAGGAGTTAATCTTCTTTTCACTTTCTTCTGCAGCATTTTTAAAATCGACAGATTCCACACCGGCCAGGTAAAATTCCTTAACATTATCTAAATATTCCTTTGAGATGTGAAGGAATAAAAGAAGGATTAAGGGTAATGTATCAGCAGCTATGCATTAACGTTACCAAATTTAATTATTTATAATTATAGTAAGCTGAATCCAAACCCTGAACAAATACATTATCTCCTGCCCAAGGCTATTTTTGTGCAGCTGCCACGTAGTGCGTGTGAAAGGGTTGCAGGCCGGCATAGACGGAGGTAACTGGAGGTCAATGCCATCCGGCAAACGTCGGGGGCAGAAGAGGCTGTGGTTCGCAAACTCCAAAGCACGTTGCTCTGAAGTAGGTGAATTGCTTCTGATGCTTCTTGCCAGTAATTCCAACAAAGACACTTCTCACCTTCGTGTCTTCCTCAGGCATTCAGTATTTCCTGGTACATCCCCAGCTGTCCCCAGGGACTCGCCCAAGCCTGCCCATTCCAGTAATATCCCATTAGCCTTACATTTTTCACCAACATGTGCACTATATTACTGGTATCTCATGACTCACTGTGCTACTCTGCCTCCTCTTTCCTCATCAGATTATCCTTAAATCCACACTTTCCTGGTGCATTATCAGAGTCGGGGGCGGAGTTGTGGTAATCGAGCTAATGCACCCTGAGTGAATACTCCCCACCTGAGAAGATCAGGCTCATCTTCCTTGCTCCACTACATTAGGCCATTGAGACACACAGGACCCAGGAGGCAGATTAAAGGTTTGGTAGGTCGGGTGAAATTTACCTGAAGGAATTCATAAGTCTTTTCTCCATAGAGTCTGTTGGCAATCTTCAGCTCATATGCATCAGTGGGTTTGTTTAATTCAGTCAGGAGCTTTTGAAATTGGTGATGCACATTTCCTGGCTTTTTATCCTTCAAACATCAAAAAGGAGCTCATTGAATTACCTTATCAATGAAATTACTAAACCCAGGCTAAGTCTGTGATATCAATACCTAAAGGTGGGTGGTCTCAATGATGACCTTCTGTGCCAATTCCCTGATACCTAGTGTATTTTTTACCTCAAATACCCTTCAAAATCTACCTGACATTTAACTTCTTGCAGAAAATTCTTTCTTCTTGCTCTAACATATCCAATGTCTTCTCTTTTGAAGTAAAGATGTAATACCATTCTGCCTCTGGATTGTCCCCTCATTGGTTTAAATGGTTAAGTATAACTTCCCAGCTAAACTCTAAGCTCCGCAAGGGCAAGAACCGTATTTCATTTCCAACAGCCATCATGCATATAATTATGTTGAAGTTTTGATTTTTTAAATATGTTATGACATGAGGCGCTGTTATACCCTTTGATGGTATAATCTTCTAAGACACGTTGACTGTGATTTATGGCTCTTTTTTCATGATGGTCATTCTCTGCATGTAAGAGCAGTGTGTGCCTGGTACTTAGCTAAGGGCTCTACATGGGTAGCTCGAAGTCTTCAGTTCAATTCAGATGAAAACAAGAAAGCTCAGAAAATTAAAAACATCTCTCTAAAGAGACATAAATTAGCAAAGCCAAGGTTTGAACTTAAGCCTGTCTGATTCTAGAATCTTCTATGTTGTAGCTAAGAGTTTTGCACCACTGAGGCTCTAAATCAATATATCTCATAGGTATCATTTCTCAAAATATACTTGGAATTTTGCTTATTCTTCTTGATCTCATTGAT